ACATGAAAAGAGAGCTCCATATCAGAGAAGCTCTTGTTCTGAAAGTTTCTGGTTCTGCATTTTCTGTGTTCTTTTACTTTACAACAAAAAACTTACAATTGGTATCAGAGCTTGAATCATCTTGAGGGGCCTATGAGAGCAAAACAGATTTAGATTTTGGTGAGAGAGAGCAAACACGAGTGCTAGTGAGGGAGAGAAGCTGTGTAAACAAAAAACACAGCCATGTCTTCAAACAATTCTTCATCACTTTCTAATCCTCCAATATTCACGGGAGAAAATTACAGTGTTTGGGATATCAAAATGAAGGCCTTTCTAAAAGGTAATGGTGTGTGGGAATCTGTAGAAGATGGGTTTCATCCTCCTATGCTGCCAAACAATCCAACTGTAGCCCAAATGAAGCAACATGCTGACTATGTTCAAGCCTCATACAAAGCCCTCTCATATATTCATAGTGCTGTAACAGATGATATTTTCTCAAGGATCATGGGAGCAGAAACAGCACAAGAAGCTTGGGATACTCTTAAGAAAGAGTTTGATGGCAGTTCTCGGGTTAAAGGTAACAAGATTGTAACCCTCAAAAGACAATTTGAGATGCTGAAAATGCAGGAGTCAGAAACAGTCCATCAATATACAAATAAATTGATGGATGTTGTCAACCGAATTAGACTTCATGGTGAGGAATTTCCAGATCGAAGGGTGGTGGAAAAGATTATTGTTAGTGTACCAGATAAATTTGAGTCCAAGATTTTTGCCATAGAAGAATCTTGTGACCTCAAAGAGCTAACCATCACTAAGCTCATAAGCAAGCTACAGGCTCATGAACAAAGGCTGGTTATGAAAACTGATGAAACTACAGAAGGAGCCTTCCTTGCAAGGCAAAAAGGCAAACAACCAGCCACTAGTTCTGAAAGCAATAAGACCATGGGTTTTAACCAAGCATATCAGCAGCATCAGCAAAGCAGAAAAGGGAGGTTTCCTCCATGTTGTCATTGCCGAAAAACAAACCATGAAGAAAAAGATTGTTGGTTCAAAGGCAAATCACAGATTCAGTGCAGATTTTGTAAAAAGTATGGCCATTTCGAGAAGAATTGCAGGGCTAAGCAACAGCGACAGCATCAAACACAACATCAGCAAGCTCAGTACAGACCAAAGCAACAACAGCAAGTTAATTATGCTGATGATCAGTGCAAGGAGGACTACTTGTTCACAACATCACAAGGTTCATCTCTGCCATCTAGTAGCAGGTTTGTTGATAGTGGATGCACTAATCATATGGCTCGGGATGAAAATTTCTTCATTGAAATGGACAAATCAATTATTACAAATGTCAAGTTAGGAAATGGTACTGTGGTGAGATCACAAGGGAAAGGTACTGTTGTTATTCAATCTAAAACAGGTACAAAGCAAATTACTGATGTCCTATTTATTCCTAGCTTGAGCCAGAATTTGCTTTCTGTTGCACAAATGATGAAAAAGGGATACACTCTATCTTTTGTGCATGATTCTTGTTTTATTTATGACCCTACTGGTGATGAGATAGCTAGGGTGAAAATGGTAGAAAATAGCTTTCCTTTGGATTTGGAAAAGGTGCAGCATTGTTTTTCTACTTCTAAAATTGTGGATGCAGATTTATGGCATAAAAGATATGGTCATTTCAATGTCAAAGGCCTAAAATTTATGCAAACACATGAGTTTGTTCGAGA